TTTGCTGTCTTTCTTTACTTCACGTATATGTTAATATACTTTAACCTTAAATTTGTTTGACTAGAAAATCATTCAATGTCTGTTGTGTTACAACAAGAATAAAAATTAATTAAAAAAACCCATCATATTACTTGGTATCAACATGTAAAAGTTACATTTCATGCCTTAATAATCCTCTTAAGATCCTGTAGGTGGAGGAGAAGGGTGTTGAGGCTAGGAGAATAGGGAGAAATGGGTGCTGGTGCACTAAAGTCAGAATTTAATCTGGAATTAAATGTATTTGAGAAAATGACATCTCAGCAGCCTGATAGTATTTTGGTAAAACTGGGTAGAAAATGTGGTAGAAAATGAATGACAAATATGTGAATAAGTTAGTGACATATATTATTGTAGATGTACAGGACTTGACAGAGGTATCCAAAAGTATTAATTATAATACATAGAGCAAAATTTATTGCATATAAATGCATAACAATCCTTGCACATTGTTAAATATATGTAGGTTCAAAGACATGGCAAAAATCAATTAGAATAGTATAGCTTGATTGCCTCATTTCTTTTAGACATGGAAAAATTCATAAGCCTTCTTTTTTTTTCCTGTATGCCAGTTTGATTAGTACCTGAGAAAACTTCTTTGGTTATAAAAATCATGCAGTATTTTATATCCACTATTTGTATGACAAATAACAAAGATCATAATAAAAGACATCATTAATGTTTGTGAATGCGGCAAAATATTAATGAATAATTAAAGTAGAGAACAAGGAAAATTAGACCAAATAGGATGAGAGTGGAGTTGAAATTCTGTGACCCAAATGTTTGGAAATAGATTGGGCACCTTTTTCTACAGTTATAGCTTATTTGTCTTACCATATAAAGCTAGTTGTATGCTACAAAGATGGTTTTTCCTCTCTTCCCTTCTGATGTAGCTGTATAGGTATTAATTTAGCAAAATATCCTGTCTGCCAGGTGTGGGAAGTAGCTGATTTTATTGTAATACCAGATCATTACTTAATTCATATGCAACATAGCACAGCACATGGAAAGCATTATAAATCTATTTACAATGTGGCTGGTCTGATGATAACATTGTATTAAATTCCCAGGTGAGGCAATTTAAGCAATTGCTTTGCCATGTGCACTCCATGGAAATTAACTTCTCGTATGCTTTAGTCATAAACCAACTTCATTGTTATGCTTATATTAGTGGTAGATTGTCGAATTCTCAGTCTGGTTACATGTACCCTACTTCACATGTAGAATCATACAGGAGGTGGTACAGCAGATCACAGTTCTTAATTAGTTTAAGCTAAGTTAATTCATTTTGTTTCTAATTTAGCAGTGCCTGTCCATGAACATATTCAGTTCAGTTGGGAAATGTTAAGGCTCGGGTCAAGTAGACAGATTGTTTCAAGCCAAATTGCCAGACAGAACTGAGCAAGTGTATCTGTTTGAACTTGGCTTTAAGAAAATCAACCAATCAGTATGCAAAAATCTCGTTCATATACCAAGTGAGAACTGCCTTGAATCTGAAATTTCCCCTTGCAACCACAGGCTCATTTTTGTAGTCTCCAGAGAAACTTTGTGCCTCTAACTTCTTACAAAAGATAACCAGTACTTTTAATTGTCCTCTATCTTTCTAGGCCTGCATATAACCTAGAGATTTTCAGCGAGTGCCAATGTAGGTGTCCTGATGGAATGGATAACACAATTTCACACAAACACATAACTGAATGTGAGAAGAAGCTGTGGTATTTAACAAATCTTTGTGGAAAAATATTGTCAGTTGGAGCTTTTCAACCCATATGGCACAGTCCAGAATTTTCCCTGGATTACAAACTGCATAGAGCTTCTCTCTTCTCCAGAAGCTCACATATGAAGCGCCAGCAGACAGTGGTTACTGACAACTAAGACTAAAAATGTTGACAATTTCTTGATTTGCCTGGTTAGCTTATGTATAGAAGTCATTAACTATTTATAAAATGCATTATGAATTGGGTTCCTTCAAACTGGAGCTGAGTGTGTGACATTTCCAGCTCAAATTCTCATGCTTGCATTTGGCTAAAGTACAAATTTATATACAGTTGATAGAAAAGTAAAAATATTTTAGTTAGGATTATCTAATTATAGTAGATAATTCATTTTCAGTAATTTTGAATCATGAACATTAACATACTCTGTAGTATATGGCAAAGTTTTCTTAGTTTTTTTTTTAAATTAAAGAAAATCAAACCACTTGCTATGGGGATGGGGGGAAAGGAAGACTCCTAGTCAAGCAATGTATCATTCAAAAGTATTTGCTCTTTTGTATTCAATTAATTTTGCAATCCTGTAGTCTAAAATCTTGTCCTTTTTCTCCCCTAATCAAACAACTACAAAGGTTATGTTTTAATTTTAAAATTTTTGGAAATCATTATGAGGGGGAAATTGGAGGCACCCAAAGATAGTATTTATAAGTAATGATATAAGGGCATTTTTATTTCTAAAAAAATTCTTAAGCCTAAATATTTAACTTTTCTATGATCTGTGCTGCACTATTTCAATAAAGAGCTCTTTCTGATATTTGAAAGATCTGTGCTTTACAAGGTTAAAATCAAATTAAAAACAAAAAGTGGTATGAGAGGACCATTTGTAGGTTCTGCATCTTTAAAAAAAAATTATATTGTCCATAGTCATCAAAATCCTTTTTTTTTTGCCTTCCAAATTTCAAAAGAATGAGATTTTTTGATAAATGTATCCTAAATTTGAGGAAACATGATCCCAAACTAGATTACTAAGCTGCTGTTGAGCATAAGCACCTTAAGTGCTGGTCTTTAGGTGAAGAAATGGGTGGTAACCAAAACAAGATGGGATAGTTATTGCTATACACTTGTAATTTCCTCTCCTTTTTGAAGTATATCAAATAAAAATATGACAGTAATGTAATTGAACAATCTATGCCAATTTGTTGGCTTTTGGGTGAAAAAAGAGAAAAACAAAAACAATCTCCAGATGATGTTCTTGCATACTGTGGAATGTTTTAGTCCCCTATAGTGATGAAATGAATAATTAAAACGGCAGCTCTGATACCACAGCCTGTTTAAAGGTTCTCATTTCCTTTAATGCTGTAGAATACTTTTTGCTTAGCTAGTTTGAAACTGCTGTGGCTGAGATCTCCAAATGGGCAAAAGAAAGATTTGGCATGATTTAAATATTGTAGTAGGTCCCTGATGTGCTCTGTCCTTCTACATCAGCTTTAATTTCAACATGATTCAGTATTAAATCAATAGACATGGCTAGACAAGAAATATTTCAGTGAATGAGAACAAGAAAAACATGCTATTTGGTAATGGTAATCAGGTGCGATCTGAATGTACATTAAATGATTGAGTTTGCTTCCTCATTGACCCAAGGCTTAAATTCTCAGCCTCAGTTTCTCCTTTTATAAAGATCTAATCATGTTGTCTAAAACTTTTGTCATTTGCCAATGTGTAATATCTATTTTACTTGATTTATTGATTGATCATAGGTTAAAAATACGTCTTTAAAGGCACCACCACTTTCTACATTATGAAAAATCTGCAGAATCTATGTATCTTTTAAGTATATAGCCCTGATAGAGCACTGGATTTGAAGTCAAGAGACCTGTGTTTATTCCTAGTTCTATCCCTGACTTTCAGAACTTGGACAAGTTATTTAATCTCTGTAAGGCTACTGGTTTCCTCTTATGTAAAGTGAGGAGAATTGGAGTATATGTTCTCTCAGATCCCATCCAGCTCTAACATGCTATGATTCTTTCTTTAAAGTATCTTGATAATTCATTCTGCTGAAAAAGAGAAGTGTCATTGTTTAATTTCAGTCATAATTTAATTTCAGTTATCATTTTGTCTATTTTTGTTTGTTTCAATTTACCTATTAGTGTAACCCAGACTATAGCCAACCTATACTTAGTCATAACAAATACTGATTTTTTTCCAGTCTATACTTTAGCAGGTAGGGAATTAGGAGTTATTATTCCAAAGGGAAGGAAGTAACTATTGGAGAAGTCAGGTGACCTACTGTTTCCTAGTCCTTTCTTTACTTATGTCTTTGCTTAGTCATTTCAGAAGCAGAAACAGTAATGAGGTAACCATGCTAGAAATAATGATGTTGAAGATAATAATGAATAGGTCATTCCAGTTTAACCATTTGTCTTCATGATTTCCTAGCATTTTCAAAAGTGTTTTTATTCGAGAAAAATAGAACATGCTTATATAAAAGTACCCTTCATGGTCTGAAAAGTCAACTGAGTATAGTTACAAGTGTCTTGTCTTAACTTACTGAGATTATTAAATTTAACCTGTTTTGTGTTTTATGTGAACAACAACCTCATACATGAAAAACATCTTCCCTTAACCTGTTTTCTTTTTTATCCTTTCTTCTTAGACCATCACAAACCGAAGACTCATGCACAACTCAGTTTTAAACTATGCTGTAAAACATTGTTTTCAGATGGGAAGTGTTTGAAAATTCCCTCCTCTGTTTAATAACATCACAGTCCTGATTGATTTTACAACTTTCAGGGAATAGAATATGGTATTACAATAGTAGTCAGTCATAGAAAAGATATAAATCATATAGTCCATCTCCTTCTAGACTGCTAAAGACTTCCACATATGTTTGCGTTGATACAACCAGGACACTTCCCCCCGCCCCCATAACCAATGTTTACTTCAACTTAATGGCCTTATTTTAATGATTTATAATTGATAGTCTTTTAATTCCATTAATGATAGTGAAGTATATTACATTGTACTTTGGGCTTATTGTTGAATTGTTGGCAAGTTTTTTTCCCCAGATGATTTTCACTGAAACTCTCAAGTTCAAGAACTTTCAATAACTTTGACTTGCAGATTTTAGCAAATAGGTATCCATTAGGGGGCTCCCGAGGTTTAAGATGATCAGCCTTGATACCAATAATGCTTCGGCGCCTTTACTTCCTAACACTCCTCTCTGTCTTTTTGTTTTGTTTTGTTTTACAGAAAAGGTCACGGATCGCCTACAGTGACGAAGTACGGAATGAGCTCCTAGGGGATGATGGGAATTCCTCCGAGAACCAGGTAGAATGCTAATCAGGAAACCCCGGTGGGTGGCTGGAGGGTGAAGGAGGTCAGTGGCACACTGGGCTTCTCAAGCTGCTCCTTAACCGCATTAGCAACAACTCATGTGGAAGTGATACTGTTTAATGCAAAGCTGGAGTCTTAATCAACTTCAAAATGTTTCTTGGAGATCTTACATTTAACCCTTTACCTTGTGATCACTGTCTGCTATCTTTAAAAAAATCTTTTCTTCTCTTTTCTTTATTATTTAGTACTTAAAGAATAACTTGAAACACACTGTTTGCAGACAAAGACAAGGTCTTCACCTCAAACACAAGTAGAAGGAATAAAAAAGTACATAATACAGCTTTGATAATAAGGCATTATAATTAAATCAACACTTACAGGCCAAAGAAATGAGAGTAAGCTTTCAGCATTCAGCAGAAAAGACTAGCCTCCTTATTATTTGCCCCTTTAAAAAAAATACTAATAAATTTACCAAAATCCAGATTTTAAATGTAACACTATGAGAGAAACCAGGACATTGTCATAGAAATGTATATAGAAATCATTTTCATGATGCTCTGGAAATTTATTATGTCACTGTAAAGCATCAGCATAGTCCAAAAGATATCACAATTTCTTCTAATTGGGTCATATAGTTTGACTACCAGTTCCAATTGGGACCTAAATGTTGTCCTAAATGTACCAGTCTAATCAAATTCTTGCTTTCTACTTTCTGAATTAAAACTGTAGCCACTGTTAGACTAAGTAAATGCATTTAGTTGGTGTAGGTTAAATGCGTGACTTAAAAAAATTAAGGAACCTAAACGCAGAAGTTACCTGCAAAATATTTCTCAAGTAGTTCTACTATCTTTGACACTATAAAAGAAATAAACAGTACAGAAACTGAGCATATTTATTAACATTACTTTGGCAAATGTCATAAAGATCTTTACTTTGACCAAATTAAGATATACATGACTCCTCTTGAGTAAACTAAATTTGCATATTGCCTCAAAATAATTTATTCTATAAAAACTGCATATTTCTATTCCATTCTACTGGGTAGATGCATTAGAGAGTGCTACACACCTGCATGATGTTAGCATCTATTTATCTATTCCAATATTGATATTAGACGTCATTAAGTATAGAGACTTTGCATGTGTGAATAAGATTTTTTTTTTCAAAGGGAAGAATCACCAAGCTAGGTATATTTGCTTTGTATGTAGATTCTTCCTTCTCCATTCCCCTCAACTCTCTTAATATTTAGATGTTATCAGCATGGGTTCAGACATGTAAACATGTTAAGATATGACTTGGGATTTCAGGCCCTTGACTGAAATGTGAGAATACCTAAGGAAAAAAAAAAAGTGGTGAGTACATCAGACATAAAAGGGGACTTGTGATAAAGGAGGTTTACTCATAATAGATTAAATAATGTATAAGGATAAGAAGAGAATATTCTCTTTTTGTGTTATTAAAGAAGGTTTAGTTTGTTCATAAGTATTTAATTTATCATGATTTTATTTATATTTTTGCTATAACAAAAGCATTATCTTGCCTTTAAACCTCCCAAATGATTGAATGCATATTTCCCATGTCAACTCCTTTAAAAGCTATAGATCATCCTGTCATTTGAAACTACTGCTTAATGTAGAAGAAATAGAGTAGGGGGAGTTTCTGCCTGGTTCAGAATCCTTCTTTGTAAGAGATGTTGTAGTACTGTGACAGTGATCCCATTTTTAACATGTTCTCTTCTCTCCATGGACATTTTATGTGCCTCAAACATTTGCCTCATATGATTTTTTTTTAATGCCTAGAGAAAAATATTCCACAAAAATAGGGTGCATTCATATTTTCAGAATAGTTCAAATTATAATCCTGTCACTTTAAAGTGATTGTGCAGACTTTTTTCCTGGACTCAGATAAAGCAGGCTTATAAATTCTGAGAGTGCTTGGAAAACCTGAAGTTCACTTGTAAGGAACTGTCATTTCAATAAATACAGTGTGATAAATTATAGTCATAAGTACATGTCGCTGTTAGATTGTGACTTTTGTGAACTTTTCAGTATGAAATTGGAGTTAGGTGTGATAGACCCCTCTCCACTCAACTTTTGGGGGTATTTTGCTGTCAAAGCACACTTTTCCCCAGGTAATGGGGGAAATCATTGAACTTGGCATTTATGAAATAATTATTCCAGAGGGAGATAGTCATACTTCCCTTCCCATCTCATCCACAACCAGGTGTGACCACTTTCTTGTGTGTCATTCTGTAGTCAGACTCTAGATTAAAAAGGGGGGCTATTTTTTTTTTAAAGCAAAGGCTTTAACTTGGCAGTGAATATAAATTCTCATACATCAATGACTGAGAAAATAGATGCATATTAGAACTAACTATACATGTTTTCCTATCTACAATAAATTTACTTTCAGAGTCTATCAGAGATAATCTGATTTTTAGCATTTCCAACGCCTAGATTAAAGTAAGTTCTTTAATTTAGATAAATACTTAGAGGTGAGCAGGGTGAGATAGTTAACCTAACAGCATGCTATTGACTTAAGGTTTGCATCTTAACAATCAGATTTTCTAAAAAAAAAAAAATTCAGAGAAGAAAGTAATAGAATTGAGTATTAAAAATAGAAAATATGGTAAATAAAATAAGCTAGAGACCAACTGCTTATTTATTGTCTTTATAGTAATATGTTTTAGGGTGACTCCTTTGAGAATTTAGAAGACTGCAAATACAGTGGCCATTCCTTCTTACTCTTTCAGTACTTTACAATGAGATGACTTGGTACCTAAAACTTTTGTAATAATACATAAGGTTATAATCAGCTAATTAACTGTAAATATATTAATTTACTTTTAGGTATGTAAACATTACAGCTACTCCCCTTACTAAAGTATGCCAGAATTTCATAAATTAAGAATTTAAAAAAATTATATCTTTGGTGTACTTCATACTATTACACTACTTCATTTGACTCCATGCTGTTTTAATAAAGTAATTACTTTGCTTTGTACAAATTAATTCATTCCTGACTCAAATCCAGCAAGTACAATCAGATGGAGCTCATTTCTGATTTACCAAGGAGAAACAGAACTACCTACTCTGCATGTTAGAATTGCTTTTAGATTATCAGCTTTCCCAGGAATGTTGTCTTAAGCATTATTAGTCTATTATTTTCAAATCATACATGCCATCCTGACTGGCAATATTTATTAGTGCCTTACAAGAGTTGAGTTCTTGGATATACAGATACTGTACTTAGAACAGTATCTTCATTTTAATATGTACTAAATTATTTCAGTTTAGTAAGGACCATTCCTTCACCCAAAAAAGAAATTACAGAGTTCAGTTGACGTCTTTTTGTATTAAAGTATGATGATGGGACAGTTATTGGAGTCCAGCTTTTGCCATTTGAACTAGATTTTTCTTTTATTTTCCATATGCAAAATACATTGACTAATAATGAATCCAAGACAATCCTAAATGTGTTAAAAAAATTAAATGTAGAGTAGCATATTTACAAATACTTGCTGAAATATATGTGGCAAACCAGTATTTTGCTGAGATATGATTACTTAATTTCTTAACTACAAGGTTCTCTTAAGTTCTGATTTGGACTTGCTGTGCATAAAGTGTGCTAAACTTCAGCTGCAGACCAGGGGGTGAAGTCGGTCAATTTAATTCCCCAAGATCTAAAGAAGGTCGGTATCATTTCATATAGCCTTGGCAGAGCAGATCATTACCAGACACAAATCTGTTCGTTACGTGCTGAGGGTTTATAGCAAAATAAATAGACTGTCATCATAAGTTCAGAAAATTGTGTGTTCGACCCACGATAATGTGTAAAGGGCGCTTAATAGAGTTCAGCATTTATTCGTTATCTGTATGCGGACAGAGACGGCAGTCGCGTTATCAGCTTTAAAAAAATTCGGTAGTTTCCTCTGTCACGTGATACACCTTACACATACACACACACACACACACACTCACACACATACACATTCACACAGAGGCATGTGCGCGCACACACTGTCTCACATGCTCTGAGGCGCAGTTTTGATTTTAGTCACAGCAGAAGGCTTAACCACAAGAGATTCCACTGGTTCAAACCAGCGTAAACCAGATTTTTTCGGCCTACAAAGGAGCAGATTACCTCTTGTATCAAAATCTGCATTGAAAAAAAAATCTTTGTTTCAAAAAGAAATGTCAATTATCATAACCTAAAATGGTGACTGTACACACTTTAAATACATTCACAATTGAGCAAGTGATGAACTCAGTCAAAAATAAATTTATTAGGTTTGGGTCTGGTCTAATTATTAATTATAAAAAATTTAACCATCTTTTGTTAATTTGAATGAATAGCTCTCAGTCTAAACTTAAAAAAAAAGACAAAAAAAAAAACCTTTCCATTACCTAGCTTAGCAGCAAATCCTGTGCAAAGCTTAAAGCCAGCCATGCAGCACAAACAAGATAGAACATTTTTTGTTTGGAAACTATTGAAAAAACAAATGGGGAGCATTTTTAAACACTCATTGATTATGGCAGGGTGGTATGCCCCAAATGGTCTCTATTGCAGAAGAGCAGTTTTAAACTTTGGCCCTTTAAGTATCATAGTCAACTGAAGAATAGTGACCCCAGAAAGAAAAGATAGCTATGTGATCTGCTCCCAAATCAGCTCTGTCTGAGGCGAATTAATGTTTGCCTTTTTTTTTTTAGGGTGGGGAAAAAAGGAAAAAGACAGACCAATTTATGATAGGCCAGGTACTTGGGTTTAAAATTTAACTTCTTGGGTAAAAAGTAGTTTTTTTTTTTTATGAAATGATTAGAAGCTTTCATCTTACATGCTGAGTGGCTACTGAGCCAGCGAGCTTGCTAGTTGAGTGTAATTACAACCACTTGTCCATTTTGAAGAAAGAACAGTGAATGTTCTCAAAAAGTAAATCCATTAAGCATTTTTGATATAATAGATTCTTGCTCCTCTGCTTTGTGAAAGGATTCCATACAGTTATATATTACTTCCTTGTTTATTTGAAAATTAATCTTATAAAATAAATGAAGAACCAGAATAATTTTGTGGATTCATTGAGTTGGTGTCAAAAATCAGCTGTTGGTATTGAGATAACCATGTTTAAGTTTAAGTAGTGCACATTCTTTTTCAGAGAATTTTGGCAAACTAGTTCTACTTTTGCTCCTGAAACAATGATCTAATTTGATGGATTATACAAGACTTGTAGTTTAGTAAATAGATTTAATAATTAGTTAAACATAATAACTAGTCTGTTAGATTGGTGTGTGTTTTAAAATTACAGGTCGTAAATTAAATGGAGAAAGAAGTGAGAATGCAAATTTCAGGCTTGTAGCAGTTGTGTCCTTTATAGTCTGTTATGATGTGTCTATTTCATGGTAGGAAAAAAAAATGGCAATCAGCTCAACAGTTCGCTAACATTTACAATGATTTAGGAGTCTGTTAAAGAAGCATATCAAAATGGATAAGCCAGATGCTTGGACATCCATTTTCGTACTTTGTAAGTAAATAAGCAACTTCGTATGTGGTGTTTAAATTAAAAAAAAAAATTAAATGACTAAAGTATCATAAAATTTGCCAATTTCACAGTTAGGACAAGAACTTGATTTTAGTTTGACTTCACTGAAAAGATTCTGAAATATAAATAAATTCAAAATGCTTATAGTATGGAATTAGCTAGATTTGCAAAAGTACTTATTCAGATTGAAATCTGAAAATGTTTTAAAATCAAAATATTGAGTTTATTTGCAGTAGCCTCACTAAAAAAAAAAATCAATGCTAGTGATTACATTTATTTCTAATGTCAAATATCTTGTAGTAAATGTCTCATGGCCTAAATAAGCATTGTCTTTTGTTACGTAATTTGTTCATTTCTTAAGGAAAACTAAGTTCCATCCAATAGAATAGGGACACATGTGTGATAGCTAATATGTAGATCTTTGATGTATCAGTTATTAACTGGGAAATAGTATAAACTAATAGTCTGTTTCATTTGTTGTTAAAAATAGAAATCATTTGTCAAGACCTCAAATAGAGAAACATCCTAAAAACTTGAATATAACAAAACCTCTTCAGTGGTACATTCTTAGAAGAGAGGAACAGTAAACTTGTTTTTTTTTTCTTTATAATATAGACTTCTATGAAGTCATTCCCCTTTATTTCATGATGGTGTCTTAGATGTACTTTAAAAGAGAATTTCACACTATTCTCTTTGTTTAATGTGACAGTGTGAGAAAGTGATCTTTATTCGTTCAAAAAACTCTGCGTGTAGTCTATGTTTAGGTTCTTTTAATGTGTTTGTCTGTGATTTTTAAATGCTAAACATGTAAACAGATAAATTGTCAATGTTAATTCTGTAGCCTGTCATACAACTGATCTTTCTTTCCTGCCATTTCTTTCCTTTTTATCTTTTTTTTTTTTTGGTGCGTTCATGTTGCAGTTGATAAAATTACGTGAAGAGGTGAGTACTTTCTAGCTTTTGTTGTTGTTGTCTGGCTTTCTCATAAAGCTGAGTTTCTAAATCTCAAGTAGATCTCTTGGTTCAGTGTTACAGGGAAATTGACACAGCACAAGTATTGATTATATTGCTTAAAACCATCCTCCACTTTATGCCCTTCCTCAATAACTATCTACCTACCACAGTTATTAATATTGTTTGGTGGCACAGTGGAAACGTAGGCATATTCAAAGCAGGAAAGGGATGAATGATAAAAGTATATCTTAAAGCTGTACCTGTGTCATTTGTGAAATACATAATTTGCTAAGTTGTGAAAACTGAAAATCTGTTGTTTTTCTGAAAGTGGTTGATTGGGCAAATAGCTTCAAAATATTCTAATTAGCCTCCTACTACTTAAAAAAAGAAAAATCCTTGCCTTTACCTTGATATTGTTAAATGTAATATGAGATCCTTCTAATCTCCAATTCTCTTTGGGGAAATATGTCTGTATTATAAATGCACTACTGGTCAATGTGCCCAGATTCCTAGTTTTATAAGTAGCTTTAGTCATTGTTAAATACAATATCTATTTTATAGGAAAAGAGCATCAAAAGTGCCCTTATTTCTTGGAGTATGATGGTCTGTTTTAGAATGCAGTTGGCCATCACTCCGAATTTATTTGAGACCAAGAAAATATTTATAGCACTGTTTCTTATATCCTCTCCATTGCAGTGAGGGATTTTATATTCTCTCAGGGGTATATGATATATGATTACAATTACTATGATTTTGATGAAGCATGATTGATCATTGCTGCCATCAATTTTGGGTTGAAATAATAGCTGATATTATAGTTTTAAAATTAATTTTAAATTATATATTGCAACAAGAGCAGCCAGAACTATTCTTGTGTGCAGCTTAACATCAATGATGAGGAAGTTCTTGTTATAACGGTTTTGTGTTGTTTTAGGAATACTTAAGCATTTTCTAGGCTATATTAATGCTGATTTGGGGACTAATGGATATAGTGGTTTTCAACAGCTCTTCCTAACCAAGGTGTATTATTGATGCATTTTCATTAATAAACAGTACCTGGAAGGAAAAGTGAAGAAGAAATGTAGGCAGATTTTCCTATCTTATTTCTGTGTCCTTTTTCTATTCCTTACACATAAGCAGTTGACTGTATTAAGTGAATTTGTGTAAACCAAGTCCTTACATATAATAAGATTATAAGGAACAATGGATAATTCATTTGAACCTACTTCTCCCATAGGACAATATTTTTCAGTAAGTATATATACTCCTATGGGACATTGTAGGCCTCGATTTACATGAAGGTAACATTAAAAATTATGTTGGAGCTTGAGTTTTCAAATGATATTGGAATTAATGTTAGACCTCAAAGCCTTGATCAATATAAGGAAAATAGACAAAGTTATTTCCCCCAAATTTAAGTCAGGAATATGTTTACCAAAATGTGTCACGTTGCAAATAAGTAGCCTTTAAAGGGTCAGTGTTTTCTCCAAAAGCCCTGTATTTGTGAAGATGAATTGTGTGGCATTATGTGTATTAGATGAAAAAGTTGGATATGTTGCATTTGCGTTTTAAAAAATATATTTATTTTACTGTATCTCGACTTAAAATTCTTCTTTTGTTTATGTCGGCAGTAAGTTTCCCAGTTTAATGGTTCTTCAATGCGTGTTTTTGGAAACTGTAAATTGTAATGGAATTGTTATTGGAATTAGAATTAGATCATTCAACTATTGGAGTTGTATCCTGTGAAATATACTTTTAACTTACTTTGCAATGGATGCAGCAGGCTATTTCTAGTCTAGATTACTCTGCTGCCTCTGCCTTCATTTATGGTGTATTCAGAGTACACATGATTCAGATAAGATGCTGATATTTCTCATGTAAGGAAAGCAATCAAGGCTTCTTAAAAGTAGTTATCCAAAAGAGGCACGCACTCACTTTTTAAAAAATTCTGATTTGCCATGTTGAAGGATAATGTAGCATGGACTTCCTCATAATTAAAATGCTTATTTGTAATTCACCTATGTTAATGAGGTAGTCCTTGGAAGCTGTGCGACGGCATAAATCAAGATAAACTGGCTTTGGCATTCCTGAGCTCTCAGTTTGAATCCTGCTCAGAGAATGGCTGAATCACCAACATTCCATGTTGCACAACTTTCTCACACGCTATCTGAAGCTCGTACTCATTCACTATCCTGCTTTGAAAAGGGCTGAGAAGAGGGCGAGAGAATGAGTTTGGGTGGGAGACTGGAGGGCAAATTGAAAGCATCAACTGCTACTGTAGTGTGTTGCCTTTCATTTTCAGAGGCCAGGGCAACGTACAACTTAGGAGAATAATATAAATAGCAGAGCTGATACAAGAACTTGATTTTGGTCTGATTTAACTGAAAAGGTTCTGAAATATCAAGTGAGAGCTAACTCTAATGTGGGTGTCGAACTAATTCCTCTCATGTGAAAATTTCTTATGACAAAATTGGACAGTTCCAAAATATGTTCAGTTCCTCCAGATTTGTTTCATAGGAATGTACACATTGAAAGAGAATTATTATTTTAGACAACATTGCTCCATTATAGCATTAGTATGTCATATAACCTGGTTTCCTGCATGTCATGGCATTAAATTCTTTTTATTTAAATGTTACATTTCTTAAAGTAAGTATTTTCATATAATTACAATAGACTATCTTTTATACTGATCCCCAAAGTTGATATCAATAGTATTCACATGTTCCCTTTTAACTTTAGGTTTCCTTACACTTTTGAGATGAACCCCAAATATCTGTTTTCTTATCCTAGTTTAAAATTTCATTTTACTTTTGATTTTACATATCTTACTGAGAAGTATAAATAATTTGAAATGGAGTTAACCTTCATTAAGATAGAAAATAGCATTATATAAAGCCAAGGTTAATACACAGGGCTTTTTGGTGGCTTTACCCTAAAATCCTGAGAATTGAGAGAAGTTGGGGTATGAAGACAGGTTTCAGGGAATAGGAATGTTATCTTTGAATAATGTCCATTTAGGAAAGTTTTAAAATTATTCAAATTTACTATGCATCTCAACTAGGTACAGATCCCTTTGCTTTTGTGATTTCAATTAGAGAGATACAACTTATGTTTCTAAATTCTCTTAAGTGCTCTTGCTTTTTCTTCCAATGCTCTGCCTCCCATGAATGTAAAAAGCTTTTTCCCCCCAATTTACTCTTAACCTATCCACTGTGTATTAGACGACTCTATTAATTATTATAGACTGCTATTGCAGCTCTCCTGACCTTCACATCAGGTCCTATCTATGCTGATCTAAATGCATTGTTTTAATGATTCTTTTCTCCCCCCCAAAAAAAAATTCAAGGAAAGCTTTGATGTGGCTTTAGCTGCCTCCAACGTCTGGCCGCATCTCAGATGTGTCACCTATGCCGGGAGGGAATAGGGAAATCACGTTTTGAATGGTAATGATAACATACTAATCACTTCCTTTCTTTGAAGATAGAAGCGAGATATTCTGTCAGCATCCCTGGCTGCTAGAGCTCCGAGGCTCCGGTCTAGGTGTATTAGCTTAAGTGTGCATGTCAATACAGCTTGCATCTCCAAGATCCATAGGGGCTCATTAGAGCAAGGTAGATCGTTTCACTAGACAGCCACTCAGATAATATGTATGGCACCTCCTTTATTATTATTATTAGAAAGCATTTCTTGGGTTTTAAGTGACATCTGTCAACAACACAAAGTTGTAGGAGTGGTTTTTTGTTTTGTTTTGTTTTGAGCTAGATAACAAAATACTGGTTTGAAGGTATACAATATTAGGTAGAAATGTATATAAATATGTAAGTGTGGATATGTAGATATATGCTTATATAAGTATATGCATGAATATGTTGTTTACATTTGTTTTTGATAACCCAAATGGATAGCTGTCTAAAAAGAAAAAGTAAACTAGACAGAATTAGAAAGTAGAGTTTGTGTGAGATGAAATTTGAAATGAGCAGCATTTGATTTCTTAGGAAGGCAGAACAATTGGTGGTGATTATAAGGTTGGGTCCATGTAGATCAGTGCATTAGTTCATTCAGAATGTCTGCTTTTTACAATCCATAATTTCCTATGTTTGTGTGCATTGAGGCAGATGTGTACCTCTTGTTTCTCAATGTTTTAACCATGAGTTACAAGGACTTCTATACTATTCTGACTTAGTAGAATATGTTGTTCTATACAACATCTTTCTGGAGAGTCCACGTAGGAGAAGCATTCTTTTGAAAATTAAGTTCTCATTATAAAATCATTGCCCTCCCCCCCCCCCATAATCAAAAGGAAAAATGGGTTTCTGAAGTTAGGATTTTTTAAGTATAATGTAAGGATTATTGATCTCCAAGTATAACAACACATTTTCCCTCTGATGAGGCAGGAAAGATAAATTCTGTTGACATTCATGTATTTCCTGATGTTTAGAAATAAGATATCTACACTCCTTCATAATGGCTACTTCATAACAAAATATAATTCTGTATTTCAAAATTGGTACATATCATTGATTGATTGCTAATCTCTCCATGCTACTGGTTCTGATAATGGGGCATTTGATAAAATAGCTAGAGAAGTTTATTGTTGTTTTTAAATGTTTGGGCATATGAAATCATAATTAAAAAAGGAAAGATGGGAAAAGGAGAACATTGTAGACAGGCATCTGATTTCTTTTTTTCTTTTTCTTTTTCTTTTTCAGAGGGCACATCTGCTCGATAACACAGAGAGGCTGGAAAGGTCATCTCGGAGACTAGAGGCTGGATACCAAATAGCAGTGGAAACCGGTAAGAATTCTGAGAGTGAGCAAATTGTCTTGCTTATGCACAGCAGTCTTCACAACACATGACATTTCAGGGAAACTTCAAAGGAGAAGCAGAGACAGCAGCCCGAGATGTGGTTTACATATTGGGGAGACAATTGGGAGCTTATTTGCGCTTATCTTTTTTCAAGTTAAAAGGCATGACATCTACTGAAAACAGTTCCTGAGGTTTAAAAGTATACATCAGAAAAGAGATGGAATACTTTGTCTAAATTCTACATTTGTCTTAATATGCAGTTACATGTTGTCAGTTTACCCACCCGCAATGATTGCTAGCACACAGTGCAGTCTCCACTTGTTTTCTTCTTTTTCTTTTATTCACATATGTAAAAATTAACATTTTAATAAATCTAAATGATCTGGAGGCAAAGAACTAATATGTTTCTTGGTTCAACTTGCTCATTTTCCCTGATGTTGAGGATGCTTTACCTAATGAATCTGCAATTTTAAAAAATAATGAATACAGCAAGCTATCAGATATGTAAAAATTGAATTAAATTAAGTAGCAGTGTTAAAGTCCATGATGATCTTATTAGCATTGGTTAGCACTGCCCAAACTTCTGGGTTGAATTAACACCCATCAGTGATATGTGAAAACACAGAAGTAATTAGGCTTCAAAGTCTTGTCTACTTAAATAAATAAGCTTCTGCAAAGTTATGGAAAGTTTTGTGTAATTATTATTATATTTTACATAGTGAAAAATTATCCATGAATGATCTTTAATTAACATTCACCAAGTCTCTCCTGAATACAGCTTTGTTCACCTTTCCATTGGATTAAAAAAAATTTTTTTTTAAGTTTTAGTGGAGCATAGACTTTATGAGTGTTGTCCTTTGAGAATTTGAAGGAATGCTAGAGTATAACAGTTGTACACCTTCTAGATATACTATGACATCTGTAGGTCAGTACCATTTTCAACATCTTTTTCTGAGGACATTGTCATTCAGATGATTCTCTTTATGACAGCCTAGTTTTCTGTTTATATTGTTATTTTTAACTTTTCCAAAGCATGATGTCTTTTGATACCTGGCTTATTTTACTTTTTTTTTTTTTTATACAGGGACCTAGGTCCTTGAGGGACATTAAATTCTCTAATTAGTTTTAAATATAAAAATCTGCAGAAGTGGGTGGGAAGAACACAATTGACATTGGCAATTTGTCAATGGTGGATAACCTGTTAAAAAGAACTCTCAGCTCTTCCTGCTACTAGTAACCTAGGAAAGCTATCTTTTATGAATATGATTTTCAGTTTTAAAATCTACTCATGGGATGGTTCTCTATCTTCATTGGATAGTGGAAGTTTCATTTATTTTTATTTTTGTACTTGAATTCAATTAGAAGTCATCTTTTAATATTCTGGTATTGTCTTTCTGTTTGTCGTGGAGTAGAATTTTGATTTTTTTATTAGAGATACAGTTTGCAAATTTAATTTGGGAAAAGGAAAGGAAGAGAAAGCAAAGATCATTTTGTTTCAGCTGTTCTCTGAGAAGATATCACTGTCAATGTTACCCATGAACATCGACAAGGGAATTTAAAGACTAAGTATTCCTTTGAACACACCTATCTGGATGATATTGAGTTGGATTAGGTGGTTGCTCCATTTTCAGGTGTTCTAAAATAATTTAACCACATCATCATAACCATTCTGCCAACATAAAAAGTGTCATGTAACTTTCTCCACCAACTAGAATGTTTCATTAAAGATGAATTACAGGGCAACCTCCTGTCCTTTTGCATTGCATAACTTTGAATTGAAAGAGGGAGGTGTTAAAAAGTTAGCCACGTATTGGCCAGGCAGAGTGGTTAAATGAAGGCTGTGTGCAGAATCCCACAGGAGGAGAAGGCAGACAAAGATATAGTTACTGCTTGAGCAGAAGTCAAGCCAGCGTTGTTTCAGATAAGATTAGGTATGTTCTGGGGGCCTTATGTTCTCTGTATCTCTGGCAGCAGTTTCTGTCAGAGAACCCTATATGCCATCACAGATTGGTATTCTCCCTCAGAGGTTTGGAGTAGGGTAAGAACTAATTCTACCTCCCCACAACCTTATCACTGCTTGTATTTGAAGTAATGTCAGAATGGTAAATTCTGTCAGTAAAATACTGACATGGCTTCCTTCTGTTTCCTTCACTATTCCTATTGAGGAGTTGATAGTCAAGTTATCATGGCCTTGACTGTTTGTAATGTAAATACATGACAAATGTTTATAAAGAAGCAATATAAACATAACATTATTCACAAAGAAAATTCTTGAGGGCTTTTTAAAGGTAGTGAGATGTATGAGAAAATTGAAAATTGAAAAATTGGGTAAGAATTTGGAAGGAATGTCATCTAGTGGGAGTCATCTAGTCCAAGTTGAGAAAAATAAGAAAAGTCTTGGCTGTACCACTAACTAGCTGTGTGACCTTGGATTAGTTACTTAAGTACTCTGTGCATGTTTCCTTATTTACAAAATGGATATGACCTTTCCCATCCACTTCTGTAAGCTGTGAGATAAAGTTAGATTATATGTACAAAATAATTTTTGAAATGGAATGTGCAACATAAATTATCTTCTTAAATTTCTGAATGCAGAAATAATTAGTTTTCTTTTAAGGTCCTATGGTGTAACAGTAGGGCAGAAATGCAGAAAACTTCTATTCTCAAAAAGTTGGTCATCTTTATATCTCTTCATAACATTTGAAAAAAATATTTGATGGCATATTATTATATTTGACCCCTGATGTCATCATAACATTAATTAGAGATACTGAAATATTTCATAAAATTATTTTAACATTTGAAGTTAATAGATTTGGTTTGAAAACTTTATTCTCTCTTCTAATAATTCAAACTGGAGTATGAATACTTTTCCTTTATGATTCCTTAAAGTCTACTGGCTTGTGTTAATCATGAATGCTTATAGTCAAATGACAATTCTGAATGAAGTAAAATCTAGAATTTTGGTATGCAAGTCCATTTGCTTTTTCCTAAGCAGTGAATAATGATCGCAATAGATCAAATAACTTTATTTATGTAAGTCTTCATTGACCGTAAATGATACGGTGTATTAGGGCTTCCACATTTTTGAGTGTCATCAGTATTTTGTGGCTACCAGTATTTTGAATTAAATGGTAGCTGTTTTCTCCCATTTGACATAAATTTGGTAATGAAGGCATTTATACCAAGACTTAATGAGAATCACTTAATTTTCACTGTATTGGGAAAGAATTGTATGTAGTGATTATGAGTAGTTTCTTTCTAGTGTGTCTTTGTGGCTAAATTTTTTAGATTTGCTATTTTGAGCTATCAGTTATTATTTGAAATTTGAATTTCAAAGTTTGTGCATTTGTACTCTAAATAAAATTATCCCTTTTCTGCTCAAGTTTTCTGAAATTATTAACAAAAAAGTTATCAAAAAGCCAAACATTTTGAAACTCAACTTGGCATCTATGAAAAATAAGACATTTACAAAAATAAGTTACTTGTTTTCAAAGGAAGGAACATCTCTTTTTTGATATTTTGTTGTGATGTTTTATTTGTGTCTCATCAAGAAATGAACCAGCTCTTATCCCTTCATGAGCAGCTGATTAAGCAGAGCAGCACATGTCTATCTTTTTAAAGTTATAGTTGGGTGAAAAAATGCTTTGATTATCACAATGTGCCATTTTATAGAAATATTTTGAAGACTACATAAGTTTTTAAGAATTTTATTTATATTTGAAGAAGAAATGTCAGTCTTTTAGCTATCGTATGCAAGGCTCTCATCTATAAAAAGAAGTATCTGAAGGAAATCAGCAAGTGTTATGTTAAAGAACTGGAAGTTGGACAACTTTGAGCCTGATATCATAAAGGGCTACTACCACGTGTTCCTCCAAAACATTTCTGGATGTAGCTATGAAAAAGGCCATGTGAAAGATGCCACATGAATAGACCTTTGGTTTGATGCAGTTTGGCATTTCTTATGTTCTTGTCTCAGTGCCTCCGAATAGACAGCTATTGCTCCTCTCTATTTCCTCTCAGTAGACAGGTATGACCATTGAGCAGTATAGATACTCATGCCATTTGAGGTCAACTATTTCATGCTCAGAACTCTGGATTATTTTCTCTTTCCACTGTAATCACATTTACAACTTTAACTCAAGTCAAGAATCCAGAATAAATACTTGATCAATATTGTCAGAGCAGTATGATCCATAGAGTAAATGGGCATGAGGCAGTGATTCTAGGCCTACTTGTCCCATCAGTATGAAACTAATTAATGTAGTTAGTTGTCTGGCAGTGTGTATAGTTGTTATATAGCTAGAGTTAGCAAAATGATGCATAATACATGTGAAGTCAACCATAGTACAGTCAGGACACCCATAGTAAATAATTTCATTTTCCATACATAAATATCCTTTATTGATGGAGATCAAGGCTAAGAATATTTGATGTTGGATATTTTTACATTTCATGAGCAAAGCACTAAGGAAGTCAAGGATGAATAAAGAAGCACAAAATTTGTTGCAGACACAGTTAAAAACTGTTGAATTTACAGAAAATCCTATTAAATCACTTTCTTTAAGAATATAAAAACATGGTGTATGTTCATTGACTCAGGATGATTTGTCAGCCTTGCATATAGAATCAATCCATCCAGCTAGAAAAGTGTGATCAGTCCTCCTCACATTTACCCATGTCAGTAAAGATGTGTAGCAACCTGAAGTCTCGTGTGGTCACATGTTCAAGTTTTTGTTTTTAAATCCAAGCCCATCTTAACTTCCTCTTCAGATACCTACTCTGGTGCCTTATTATGGCATGGAGTTGACCCTTTGTTCTCAAAGATCATACCACCTGTTTTGCAGGTTTTGTTATTCTAGAAGGCCTTTCAGTTTGGTCCTTAGGACAAGATTTAGAACAAGAGTCTGTTCTCTAAGGATTAATCTAGCTAAGCAATACTTGTTGACTTGACTAAGAATGGAGAGGCTCAACTCTAATAGGTTGGT